CTCTGCCACCATTCTGATCCACCAAGCCTGGGAAGGCCTTAATTAATTGTAATACTGTGTTTTATTAATCTTTATATCACCCACGTATGTATCCTGTTTGGCCAATTGGTGCACATATACAGATATATGATTGATGGTTAGCTAGAGGATGTAATGGCTGTGCATTATAGAAATATCTAATTTGTTGAAGACTGAATTATAATAGAATATTCTAATAGTACTTTCCTTCATTCCTACAATTTTTTTTTTTTTTTTTTACTTTTTAAACTGTACTGATGCAGCCTGTATGGTGAAAATAAGCAGAATGACTTCCTTTACATTCCTTCTGTATGTCAATAAAAGCGAAACACTTCCAATTAAACAGGACCGTGTTAATACGGGAATTGAAGATGTGGCTTTGGACTTCACCTGGGAGAAATGGCAGCTTCTGGACCCGATTAGGACCTGTACAGGGACGTGATGTTGAGAACTACAGCCACCTGGTGTCAGTGGGTGAGGACAGCTCCCCTGTGTCACTCAGAGGGTCCCCGGTCAGTGGCCTTTCCTCTTAGCTGCTTCAGAGTCTCTGTAGTGCTCTCAAGTGTTAGATTCTCAGAACCCTCTCTGGCTCCAGACAAGAGTATATCATGTTCCCTCTCCTGAGAGAAAAGCCTCCACTTTGCAGATGTGAAACTGTAGAATCCTTCAAATGTAGCATTTTCCCATCTTGACATCCTAGCCCAGTGATGGCGAACCTATGACACACGTGTCAGAGGTGACACGCGAACTCAATTTTTTGGTTGATTTTTCTTTGTTAAATGGCGTTTAAACATATAAAATAAATATCAAAAATATAAGACTGTGTTTTACTATGGTTGCAAAGATCAAAAAATTTCTATATGTGACATGGCACCAGAGTTAAGTTAGGGTTTTTCCAAATGCTGACACGCCGAGCTCAAAAGGTTCGCCATCACTGTCCTAGCCCAATGTCATGTGCTGGTCTTCTGTCATTTCCTATGAACAGGGTATCAAGCCAGCAAACCAAACACATTCTTCAAGCTGGAATGAGGGGAAGAACCCTGGACAATAGAAGACAAAATCCACAGTGGAACCTGTCCAGGTGAGAACCAGCAAGACGGGCGGCCAGGGAAGGCATATGCTAGGCAGTCAGAGAAGGTGCCACAATATGAGTGAGGAAAGCTAAACAGTAGCCCCTTGGAGTTTAGAGGGAAATACACCCTTTTCTTCTCCTGAGATCTGATCCCATCTGGTCCCTGTTTATGTACATCTTGGATTTTTATTGTTTGACAAGTACTTTTTTTTCTGTCAGCTCATCTCTTTTGTTCATTGCCACCACGCCTCTTCCTATTTCTCCCACCTCCGTTGCTATGAAAGTCCACCTTCCAGGCCTCGTTCCAAACAGAGAGTTGAGCATCATCTTTAACTAGAGCATTTGGGAAATAGTGATTTCCCTTCCCAACATTCAACCCCATGTGGGATGCTATGCCCACACCGTAACCTGATCTCTGTGTTTACATGTTTCTTAGCCTCTTGCTATAGACTAAATGTTTGTGTCCCCTGAATATTATATGTTAAAATCCTAACCTCAAGGTGATGGTTTTAGGAGATGGGGCCTTTGAGAGGTGATTAGGTTATGAAGACTCTCACCAGACACTGAATCTGCTGGTGCCTTGATCTTGGACTTCTCAGCCTCCAGAAATGTGGAAAATAAATTCCTGTTGTTTTGTGTTATGGCAGCCTGAACGAACTAAGATACTTGTCTTTGCCCCTCTCTGAAATTGTCAAAGGTTCTGTTTTCCATTTCTTGCTCTGTTCTCATAATTCTTACATCTTTCCTCCATTCTAATAAGTTAAGCTATTATTCTCTATAAAGACTCCTAAATTCACATCTCCCTTAATGTTTTCTGATTTGCACACTTATCCCATATATTTTACTGTCTCCACAGACCTCGTGACTGAATTCAGACTTTTTGTTCAAGGAATGAAAATCATCTTCCCTACAAGAGAATTTCTTCCACCTTCTTTTTCTTTTTTTTTAAGTTTATGATCTTCTAACAATTTAGAAAGATGAATATTTAATAAAGTAGAGAGTTAAGAAATGAGCAGTTGTGCCCGGCCGGTGTGGCTCAGGAATCAGGAGGTCGTTGTTCAATTTCTGGTCAGGACACATGCCTGGGTTGCAGGCTCTATCCCCAGAAGGGGGCATGCAGAAGGCAGCTAATCAATAGTTCTCTCTCATCGTTGATGTTTCTATCTCTCTCTTTCGCTCTCTCTTCCTCTCTAAAATCAATAAAAGTTTTTTTTTAAAAAAGAACAGTTATGAAGTAGGGAGTTAACAAAGAGATGGTGAGGTTGAAAGATCCAAGAGAGTCTGATTCACCAGAAGTAGAACAAGAATGTCTTTCAAGAAAGATTTAGCTCTGAAACGTAAACATTCTCTGCAGTTGTCATTTCATGAAGTAAGATATGAACTGAGGGACAGGTATATGATGATACAGGTATATGATGATAGTGTTTTCTTCCTATACAGAGTGTGTGTGTTGAGAAACTCAATGTCTGTCTGAATATAGAAGGACTAGGATTCTCAGGATAAGTAAAAGTATGATCTCCTTGGTTCAAATGGAGAAAAGTATGGGAAATAAAGGAGGTAAAATCCCCTTGGGATATCTTGTAGAAGAATCTTATTTGTATTTTATTTGTTCACAGGCTTATCATTTTTAAGAGTTGCCATCATTTCAAAGATCCCATCTTCTCTGTGATGTGCTTCACTGGACATGTGATTTTCCTATCTTTTTTTCATTCCTTCTTACTCTTCTGAGTGGGGCTCTTGTTCTCTTTCCTCTACCCCAGTGGTTCTCAACCTTGGCTGCACATTAGAATCACCTGGGAATCTTTTTAAAATCCTGATTTCTTGGCCCCATCCTCCGGAAATTCTGTTTCTTTGTTACTAATGTTGTGGTCCCACCCCATAACAAAGAAACAGAATTTCCGGAGAATGAGGCCCAGAAATCAGGATTTTTTTTTTTATTTTTTTTTTTAATCTTTATTGTTCAGATTATTACATTTGTTCCTCTTTTTTCCCCCCATAACTCCCCTCCTTCCAGCTCCCACCCCACCCTCCACCCTCACTCCCCACCCACTGAGTTCATCCATAGGTGCATGATTTTTGTCCAGTCACTTCCCGCATCTCCCACACCCCTTTTCCCCCAAGAATAGTCAGTCCATTCCCTTTCTATGTCCCTAGAAATCAGGATTTTAAAAAGATTCCCAGGTGATTCTAATGTGCAGCCAAGGTTGAGAACCACTGCTCTACCCAGTCATTCCCTTGATCCAATAAAGATGTCCTGCTAAAACACCTTGAGTCCTGTTTAGAGAACAAGAAATAAGAAATTTCAAGAAATAGGAAAATTCAGTCGCTGTCTTGTATTTATATCACAAGCCCAGGATTATTAGGTAAATTCACTCAAATATTTTAATCACCTGAATTTAGCCATCTCAATACTATTTTATTCTGGGATGCAATCATTAGATAATTGAGAACAGGGTGAATTTCTTGACTGATTTGTGTTTACAAGAATCACCTTGTAAAGGTGATGTAGGATAGGCCAAGGGCATAAGCAAGGCCAGTTCTAGCATCTCACTTTCAGACACTGAACCAACATAGTACTATTGATGGAGGAGTCAGAAGATGCAACTGACTTCCTGCTTTGACCTGTGGCTCCATTCTTTTATCAGGAACCTGTTGAGAATTATAAGGGCCTATGGGGTTGAACATAATGTGAGCAAGTAGATGAACTTGATGTCGGTGCCACAGCCCACCTTCTCAGGATCTCGGGTGCCTCCTGGTGAGGGAGAGTATTCTAGCTCAGAGCTGCAGCCACTAGAAATGGGAGCTGAAGCAGGGCTAGAAATGGGTAGCAGGCCTGCAAATGGCTGGCAAAGACCTCTTGCTGAGGTGATACAGGTGCATACGACTGTGGGAGATTCAGTTCTTTGAGGTCGTTTTATTTTTTGCATGTTCCTAGAAGTTCCATTTGCAATATCCAAAAAACAACCACCTGGAAGCAACCTAAAAGTCCCACTGATAAACGATTAAACACATTTTGGACTATCCATACAGTGGAATATTGAGCAACAAGAGGAACAAACTTATGGATACTTCAAAACAATTATGTTGCCCTAACCGGTTTGGCTCAGTGGATGGAGCGTCGGCCTATGGACTGAAGGGTCCCAGGTTCAATTCCAGTCAAAGGCCTGTACCTTGGTTGCAGGCACATCCCCAGTGGGGAGTGTGCAGGAGGCAGCTGATCGATGTTTCTCACGATGTTTCTAACTCTCTATCCCACTCCCTTCCTCTCTGTAAAAATTCAATAATAAAAAAAATTATGTCGTGTGAAAGAAGGCAGATAAAAAGAGTTCATACAGTAAGAGTCTGTTCATAAGATACAGACCAATCTGTGGTGACAAGGCAGTTGGGTGCCTGCTTAGGATGTATGGAGCATGTTCTGTGCTCGGGCGGTTAGAATGAGGCTGGAAAGAGCCTCCACGTCCTTGGTTTCTGCTCACGTTGTGATCGCCGGCCCCCTGACCGCCTCACTTTCCACACCTGGTTCCTTCTCCATATGCACCGCCACCTGCCGGCTGCGCGCTGACCCCCGAGGCCCTCCGCTCTGTACGGACACCGCACTCCCCCAAGATGGCCGCGCCCACAGCGCCCTGTCTCCCGGCGCCAACCCCACGCGGTTTTAGCGCCCCGCCGGCTTTTTCGTCAAACGAGCTTACGTTTTTATGCGGCCTCTAAATCTCTTCGCAATTAGGCTAGTGGCTGAGGTGTCCAGAAGTTATTTTCCTTTTGCACCGAGCTGAGGCGTAACGGCCGCTCGGAAGGTACGCGGGGCCCTTTTGGTCCTGATGGGCTCCGGCCTTTGGAAAATAGGCTTCGTTCACTGTCCCCTCCAACAAATGAATTTACCGCCACGTCACGGGCCTTCTGTGACCTCAGGCCTCCGAAAACCTCTCCACATTCCTAGCAGGGCCGACGGGCCGGCCGCTGAGCAAAAGCCTTCTGTACGTCAGGTGTGCAAAGATG